TACTTGAAACTAAAAAGGGATAGAAAACGAACGAAGGATATAAAAGAGTATAGAAAAATTCGCGAGGATTCAAATATTTTTGCAGGTACAGTAATGTCTCTCTGATTGACGCCCGGATTGTCCATAAAAATGGACAATTTGGGAAGAGGAGATACGAGCCTTTATTATTATAGGCCAATATATATATATAAATATATATATATAATATATATAAATAATAATAATATATAATAATAAAATATAGGCTATATATATCCTATATTTTATTATTTATTATATAAATATAGATATATTATATTTATAATTATTCGAGCCTTTTGGCTCGCGTTTTTACAGTTATAAATCGTCCACAATTATAAAAAACGAGCCGCAAGGTTCGGATATCGTATCTCCTCTTCCCAAATTGTCCATTTTAGTGGACAGTCCGAGCGTCGGTAAGGGAGACATTACTGTACCGTGAAGAGAGTGGCGGATCAAGGACGCGGCTTCGACCGTTGTCAGACGTGTCGGATGTTTACGCCAGTGTATAACAATGTCACGCGGAACGTTGCGTGAACGTGGTCGCGCGAAACGTTCGCGACGCGTGTTGTTGCACCTGTCGATCGCGGCACGAACGTGCACGCAAAATTCTCGAAAAAATTACCGAATTTTTTCAACCGCCGAGGGATGTTCGTTAAGCTTTAAGATCGACGTCGAACCCGAACAGGCACCCCCACCAGCCCGCAGCAGAGAGACGACGGCTCGCCGTCGGGTGTTTGGATCTCGGATCACGGGGCAGCTGGGTCGTCGGGGATCGATCACGGAGAGCAGCAACGTGACCATGTGTCGTTTGCGACACGCGTTACTCGGGTACTTCAGGCTGTGCCAATTTCGAGTCAGTCAGGTACCTGAAGTAGCGCGCACTGCGGCGAAACCGGTACATCGTTTTTCTCCGGCACGAGTTCAGGTTCCTGTTCGCAGTACGCTGCTTCGCGCGAGAGCAGAGAGAGAGAGAGAGAGAGAGAGAGAGAGAGAGAGAGAGAGAGTGAGAGGGTGGGAGGGAGAGAGCGAGAGAGAGAGAGAGAGAGAGAGCGAGAGAGAGATCGCAAAGGGATGCCGATACTCCGATATCGAAACCGAGAGAGGACGGAGGGACACGGTGGTTGGGAACAACTGTGGAGGCTGCATGTTAATTGTACTTCATCAGGTGCTCTGGTGATCTCGATACCCGGCACCTGTTGGAGCGCAATTCATATGACTGTGCCCTGCTGCCTTATCGCATCGCGACAAGTAGATCGTAGATCCTCCAAAAAGTCGTAGATCCTCTACGGGACGCATGTTCCTTGGCTCGGCCAGTCCTCTACCCCTTCGTCTCTCTCCTTGTCCTTTGAATCGTCTCGATCGATCGACCACGCGATGACCGAAGGCTTTTCTTTATTTGTTTATCCAAGGGGTTTCTTTGTTTGCCCGTCGAAAGAGGTCGATTCGTTGGTTTGTGCATCGCTTTCGGTAACATTTTCCTAAAAAGAGAACGTTTATTGTCGCGGCAAATACACGGTCACGTTTATATCCGGCTTGGTGAAGTTTATTAGAAGAGACGATTTATTTTTATTTGACACACGGCTCTCGCCGATATCGAATTTTACTTGTTGAAAGAATTCGCTTTTTGCAAAATATTTAATAATTTCTAAACTGTCGGCAAGGTAATAAATTAAGCGACGAACGATCCGCAGCAGCGTGTATGGCCGGTTATAGTTTTGTCGGTAAAGGGTCCGCTGTTCGAGTGTTAATCGACGAACAAAGTTAAACTGGCGCCCTGTGGTCAGTCGATGCACCCCGATGCCGATGCCGATACTGATAATGTTGATGATGCCGATGCACTGGCGGCTAGCGGTACCGTCACTCTTCTGAACAACCCGACGGAGAGTGAGAGAGAGCGAGAGAGAGAGAGAGAGGAACCGTTGTAATGTCGCGAATTAATGGGATAATAGCGTTACGGTGGGGTCGCGTGGCGGTGCCAGCCGAAAGGGAAAGGGAAGCATCGGAGATCGCCGGGTAACGCAATAATTATTCAGCCGTTTGCGAGATTCCGCCGAGTCTCTTTGGAAAGCTGACCGTCCCGAGAGTTGTTTCGTTGCGCGACGTTCGCAGCTCGAGAATGTGTGCAGCGCGAGAGAACGACCGCGGATCGCCGAAAGGAATCGGTCGCGTGTCGCGTAAACAGCGCGGAGTTCGATACGCGGTTTGTACGAACCCGGTCCGCCTGTTTTTGCTTGGCTCCGCTCCGCTCCGTTCCGATTGCGAAAACAGTTGGCGCACCGTTGTCGCTGGCCGAACGGCGACCGTGGCTTGCCAAAGCGAATCGAGCCGCCGCGGTGGACCGAGGAGCAGCGAGAGGGGAAACGGGAGCGCAATGCTCCAGAACGGATGATAAAAGAACTTAAATAGGGGCATTACGAGTCAATGGAGCGTGCACGGAAGAAAGAACTGTATCAACGAGCCGTTTGAACGTACGGCGAGACAGGTTACGATCCTCGCGACGTGGCGGTCGTGGCTTCGTAAAGCTGTTTCATCGCTCGCGATCGAGCGTGATTTATGAACTTAGCTTGTAGGGTGAGTGCGTGGGTATTACTGCGGACGTCCCAAATGCTGCGGTATTTTATAAAATAGAATCTTATAGAATAGAATATCTACAGAATAGAATTTTTTGTAGCGTGTAATCTTCTAAAAATGAATCTCATAATTTTTTATACCTTTTAATATTGATCACTTATGACGCAGTTTTAATTCAGTATCTATCGACTTTCGATATTGTTTACTAACGTAGTACGTACGTACTTGGCGTATAGTTTTTTACCATGTGTGCACATTACCGCGGCGCTTTACCGAACTACGTAGCATAACGTATACAGTGCAGTTCTCGACGAACCGGTGCGACATGCTTGATCGCAGAGTACCTATGCCTAATTGTTAAGTGCTGCAGTGAGACTATCTTGATCCCTTGGAATCGTAGCTATGTGTGTGTGTGTACATTTAAAAGAAAAAATGGGTTATGCGAACCTTGACACCCAGTAATCGGAACGTCCGCAGTATTTCTCTCGCATTAGCAGATACATAACCTCGTAATACGTGCACAGGTATGGTTTCATTGCGTTACCCTTTCTATAGAAATTCGTGCTTACAGAGATGCAATATTTTAAGAAAAGTAAACATTCGAGTTAAAGAATAACAGATAGATGTATCTCAAGTTTGCGTAAAGGGTTATATCTTCTCTGTCGAAGTACCTACGCTTACGCTAATTGTCCGGCGACACGGACTCCTAAATTGGAAATTATCGGCGATTTGTGCACGCAATGAAACCGGAGCCCGAGATACGCGCGTTCGCCGAACCGGTTGTCGCGTTGTTCCCGTCCCGGTCTGGTTTCGTTTGGTTTCTCCCAGCGCGGCGCGGCCTCGACCGGCAGCGGAGGGCTGGCTCCGGGGAAATTCCTCGGAGCCGTTCAAACATTAAACTTACATAAGGTCGTGTTTAATTAATCGGGCACCGGCGAATCGATTTGCTTTAAATAGACGGGCCCGGTCGAAGGTGCGAAATTGAATCGTCGTCTACCTGCGAAACAACCGACGAGAGCTCGCCGTCGCCGCTCTCGTTCGAACCCTTTCGCTTCTCTCCGGACACGCGCACGCTTCTGTCCAATTAGTAATAAGATATATATATATATTCTATATAGATGTATATATATTAGTAATAAGATATATAGTTAAAGATATATATATATATATATATATATATATATATATATATATATATATATATATATATATATATATATATATATATATATATATATATATATATATATATATATATATATATATATATATATATATATATATATATATATATATATATATATATCTTTAACTAGTAATAAGATGGTCTAAATTTATCTCAGGGATTTTTCGATCGCCGTTACATAACCGTTCGATAGCCGACCGGGGGAAAACCCGTCCGTGCAAAATTCCAACAGTCGTAGCTTGCCTGTGGGGGTAGATTTTCGTCTCTTGGATACTTTTGATAATTTTGAAGAACATCCGGTGTATCCTGGATCTCGGGGAATTTTTTCCAGATTTTTATTTGATTGGAAAGCGCGTGTGCAAAAAAGAAAAACAAAGAACCGAAGAAAAAGAGGAGAAATTGCGAAAATTGACTCGTAAAAGATTATTCTTTTTCAACGTTCAATCGCGTAAGCTTCTCTCGGCGACTGTGCGCGTTCGAAACGTTGCGCTCGCACGCGGAATGCTGGCCATCGATAATCGGGCGAGCCTCTTCGCAACGCGTCGATGTAACATGCGAGAAACTCGAGTTGTTTTCGCGTAACGATAAGTGCGCGACGGTTCTCAACCGTCTTCGGTCGTCGGAACGGACACGAGGCTCTTCCGAACGGAGTCTCGCGAAGTTTCACGACCGTACCCGAAACTCTCTGCGGGCACGCGGTGGTAACACCGCGTCGTGTGTGTTACGATGTATGCGAGACCGGCAGTCGAGCCGTTCGGTTCGTTTCGTTGCGAACACCGAAAGCGCATATTCTCGTCTCGAGGCGATGAAAATGTTTCGTATGGGTTGAAAACGAGACCGCGATAACGTCGGCAATCTTTTGGCGTATGGATTAGGTCTGGGCTTGGTGTGGCTTTAGAAACTGTTTGCACGATTCACCGTCGTTCGTCGAAGTTTTACTGTAAAAATGGTACCACCAGTACATATTAATAAGTGAATAAATAAATAAATAAATAAGTAAATAAGTGAATGAATAATGCCGGCAGTAGTCATTCGGTTCGAATAAGATATCTCATAGCTGACAGCGTCCTCCGCTTTCTACCGAGCCAGGGGTTCTCAACCCGCCTGTTCGAGCGTGGCTCGTTCTCGTCGAATTGCGAAAGGGTTGAGAGAGTAAGTACATGGTGTTGTGTATCGCGAGATCGAAATCTGTCGGCCGATGAAAAATAAAGAGAATCGTCGATCAACATTTAATGTCTTTATTTTAACCCTATACACGTAGAAAGTTTCGGTACTAAAAAACGATGAAAAAGGCGGCGGGGGCTATATTACAAATCGCAAACGTTCGGAGACAGGAAATTCCTCCGTCGGTCTGCATTAACATCCGTTCGCTCGAGCGTTTCCTTAAGCCGCGTTCCCACGCGAGAGCATATTCGTGCATCGCCTTGGACCCTGTCGATCGGGAGATCCGGATTTGAAATCGTCGACGATGACGAGGAGATGCGTTCGCGATCGAGCCCCGTTTCGCGGCGGCGCGCACGTGGGAACGCGGCGTAAGCGCGCGCGCCGGAGACGCGCGCGATCGTTCGCAGAAATCCTCGGGAGCGGTTCCGCGCGCAGCCCGGACGCTTTTGAACGGTTCCGACGGCGCCCGATCGGCGTATGCGTGCGTGCGTGCGTGCGTGCGTGCGTTTTAAACGGGTCCGGTTTCAACCTTGACTCGATAGCTTTCGAGTTATTTTGAACGGCGCGGCGGACGGGAAGGCGAACGAATCGGCGCGAAGCCAAGTCACAGAGAGGCGTCTGTCTCTCGTGCTCCGTTGAATTTCTCCGGCTCGCAGCGAGCCCCGAGCCACACACCTCGCGCTCCGCTCCGCTCCGATCAATAAACTCTGTTGCCGGTTGCCGTGTTTCGTGCAACGACCACGACACGCGTGCCGATCGATCGCTCTCGCCAGCATATCGGGATCGCCGAGGCGTCTCCCGACGACACGCCTCTCTTTGGAAAAGCTTCGCCGATTTTTCGATGTTCGACGACCGGCCGCGATCGGGGGCCTCCTTGAGGACCGATGCTCCCGCGAAAGGACTCCGTTAACGCTCGGGATGGGCCGAATCTAGAGCAGGCGTGGGCAGAGCACTCTTTGCCCTCGGAGCGGCAAACAAGCGAGCGAGAGAAATGGGGAGCATTTATCTTGTCTCCGTGGACAGTGACAGTAGGCGTACGAACGCGGGGTGCCCCTCGGGGCAATTCGGGCCCATGCCTGCTCCAGGATTCTCGTTTCCATTCTTGTTCGATTATTCCCCCCGTTCGATTCACGCCGACGATACCGCGACGGACGCGATCGTCATCGGCCGGAGCTGGGCGAAGACCGATCTGATTCACGACCATAAGTCGTTACTTATTAGAAACGATTAGAATTCGATTATTTACAAATGATAAGAGCAACGATGCGTAATCGTTTTTCAGATTACCTTTTCCGTAATCACTTTTGTATCCAATATATAACTAAATTGTTATGTCATAATTGTTTGATTATCGATCGGATCGCTTTTTCCCGAACCATTTTAACCTAATTACGCAGGATCGGTTGTGACAACTAGCCTAGTCGAATCGTGAACGATCGATCGGATCACTTTCTCCCAAATTACTTGAAATTAATTCGACAAGAATTAATCGGTCGACGATCGGGTTATTTTTCGCCCAACTCCGGCCTAAGGCCCGTCGATCCTCGTTCCCCCCACGATACCTGGATCGTCGCGAAATCCTTCCGGATCCGCGATTTCTCGCCGACTCCCGCGCCCGTACCCGGTTTTCCGCGCGGGCTTCGCGGATCGTTGCACGCGCGCGAGAGACGAACAGTTCCCGCCGAGCGAGAAAGATGATCTCGCGCGGAACAGGCCGGGGGAAGAGGAGCGGTGCGAGCAGCTGCGGGGGAGGAGAGACCGTAGTCGGCGAGGAAGAAGAAGGAGATCGGCCGCCCTCGGTCGGGACTCGGGACTCGGCCAACCCGGGGAGGGGGGAGCCGAGACGTCGGCGTCATTCCGGCCGTTCTTGCTCTCTCGTCTCGTCGCAGACCTTAGTTCGAGGCGGAGGGCGTCTTGGGTTGCTGGAAGGGGTTCCATTTCAGACACTCCGGATCGATCTCTTTGTAGACGGGCCCCCGTCTCTTCACCCTCTCCTTGTAGTCGTCGATCACGTCCTGAAAATCATTTCAACGGTTCTCCCAACGGTCCTTTTCTGTCTCGCGCGGCGCGCGGCGCTGCGTCGCACAGTGGTCTGGCCGGCCGGCGTTCCATCGCCAACATTCAATTTCTTTTTCCGTTTAACACGTCCTCTATTCTGTTTTTGCACGGTATATTTTCCCCTCTTTCCGCGCCCATTTTCATTCAGAGAAGTAAATTCAATTTCCTCCCTCGACGCGACTTTTCGTTCCGCTTTGGCGAGCCTCGAGAAACTTATTCCCGCGGAATGTTAAGGACAGTTGTTTCTATTAATCCTAATTTAGCAGACGGTATATATCCAGGACCGTGCTGTTTTTCTACGTTCGTGCCCGGTGTCGCGCTTCACGCGGTTTTCTTTTTCCGGAACGCGTTTACCGTGCGAGGAAAAAAACAAACAAACAAAACGCACCACGATTTTTCAAACGTGTTCCGGACAGTCCGGCGAAAAAATGTGTCCGACAGAAGATGGTCAACGTTTTCGCTCGTCTACGAGCTCTAGAATACAGAAAGCTGAGAAGGATTCTTTTTCATGAAAAATGTTGGTCGCCTCGTTCGAAACGTCGATATGTGCGCTATATTATTATCTTGTATATTATATATTAATAATATTAATATATTAATAATAATAAATATATTAATAATATTAATATATTAATATCTTGTATATTATTATACTATATATAAAATAAACTGAGATCCTTGAAAAACACATTCGATGAAGCAATTTTCATCGCGGTACACGGATTTCCAGAACCACTGTGCGCCGCGACGCTCGTCTCTTTTCGTAGACGCGCCTTTCGAAAAGCATAGTAAATTCTCCCCAATTGTCTCTCAGGCTTGTAAACAAAGACGGAGAATTTCGGAAGGGAGGAGGCTGCGCGACGAAAGCTCACCTGTTTCTTGAGAATGATGTGCTTGCCCTTCCAGTACTTCATCATACCGAGGGCTTGCAGGGTGCTGACGATGTCGTACGAGTCGATCGCCATCTCCTTGCTGATATCTGCAACATCGTTCGTTCGTTATCGCGATCCCGGCGCAAACGGAACGAATGGTAATGCCGGCCCGCGCCGTCCGGTCCAGCGCGCGCGTTACCTTTGACCGAGAGTTCCTTGCCCCCGAAGTTGCAGAGGTACTGCAGTAGAACGTCCTTCCAATAGCTGCGATACGAGATCAGGCCCAGATCCGACAGAGGCTTCTCCGGCGAGCCAATCTTTTTCTCGACCCTGGTCAATAAGTAACCTGCGCAGATATATATATATATATATTATATAATATAATATATAATAATATATTATATTATTATTATATTTTTATTATGTTATATATATATATATATTATATATAATATTATATATTATTTATATATGTGTATATAGGGTGTCCCGAAAATGTTTCGCAATCCGAAAGTAGCCGGTTCCTGAGGTTATTCGAAGCAACTTTTTCCTTTGCAAAAATTTTCTCCGAGACACCGTTAACGAGTTATTAACGAAAAACAGTGACCAATGAGAGGCGAGCTCGGCTGGCGCGAGGCGACCGAGCCAATGAGCGGAACTGGGCTTCGTGCGCTGGTTGGCTGGGCCGCCTCGCGTCAGCCGTACTCGATTCTTATTGATCACTGTTTTTCGTTAATAACTCGTTAACGGTGCCTCGGAGAACATTTTTGTAAAGGAAGAAGTTGCTTTAAATGATCCGAGGAATCCGGCGTTTCCGGATTGCGAAACATTTTTTGGACACCCCGTATATACATATACATATTATAGGGTATACAGGAGCCAATTAAAAGCAACATTAGCCGTACAAGAGTTTCGGACTGCGGTTACCGGGTCGTTTTCATCCATTGTACTTGTGTATAATACTGGTAATTATAATTACTCGATTAAGAATAATTATTATTATAATAACCATTTGCACTCGAAGCTATATTAACTGTAAATCTAAAATAATTTTTCCGACTTGCAGTATTTCCATGTTGCAGGACAAAGTGCATTTTATGCATACGAAATTGAGTCTCGCGATTCATACAACAGTTACACTTTTAATAATGTTTAAAATTTAAGCTTCGATTATCATAAAAATGATCTTAGAACGTGATACAACAATTTTAGTGGTGCATCGGGGTCATCACTCGAGTGCAAAGGGATAATTTTATCATTATGTATAATGTATAATAATATAATTATGTATAGCATTAATAATTCTTATATAATAATATATAATAATTATGTATAGAATTAATAATTATTATACAATAATATATAATATGTTATTATAATAATTATTATTATAATTACACAATAATAATTACTCAATTCGCACAAATTACGTGAAATAATAAATTGCTGTTTTGAAGAATTCAGGATTATTAGATTCATCGTCAATCGTACAGTTCTGTTAAAATGGCCCGTCGTCCGCGGATTAATTGAAGTTTCTTTTCTCATGAGAAAATTTATATCAAGTCTTATTCGATAGATGTGACGTTAACGATGCTCGAGAATAAACTAAAAGGGCCCGGTAAACTGGCTTCGCTGGCCAGGGCGCACTGATTCGTCGCGTCGAATTGTCGTGAATCGCCGTGAAAAACGGTACGGACGCGGTCCGCGCGACGACGTCCTTGCGGAGGGAAGGCGGCTAAACGGACTATGAAATTCCGATTGCACGCGAGACGTCGTCGAAGCCGCATAGGTACGGAGAGCCGTGGTGCTCGCGTGCGTTCGCGTGCACACGCGGCTCTCGCCTCCTCTTGCCGCCGCTGGAAGCCGTTTCTGGTGTCAGTGACCGACGAAGGATGAAACGCCGCGGCGCGACGCGAGGCGACGCGACGCGTCGGTGCCGTATCGAAAATAATTTCCAACCCCCGAAACCCGCGGCCGAACGACGTACGCTCGCTATTTCTATTTGTCCCGATCGCTTGCACCGATCAGCGATCGTGCAGCGGATACGGTAAGTGGTACGAGAAATAATATAATATAATATAATATAACATAATATAATATAGTATAATATAATATATATATATATATATATATTATATAATAATATAATATAATATATATATATATATATTATATAATAATATAATATAATATATTATTATATATTATATTATATAATATATATATATATCGAAGGCGAACTTTTGTCAAAGACGATAAGATCTTTTACGCCAATAAATTGACGACTCGAGTTATACCTACTATATATTCAACTCGAATATTTACTTTCCTCGAAATATCGGATCTCCGGAAGCGCGAATTTCATTGCAAATCGCGATGCAAAGAAGCCGTACGCGTGCATACATTACGAGGTTATGTATTCATTATTGCGAGGCAAATATGGACGTTCCGATTATATTGCGTATCAAGGTGACGTAACCCGTATTTTCGATTGGCTGTACACACACACACACACGCACAGCTACGATTCCTAGGGCCAAGATAGTCTCACTGTAACACTTTACAAATTAGGTATAGATTGAATTGCGATGATCTGCGATCAAGCGTGTTCGCACCGGCTCGTTGAGGACAGTATAGGTTATGGTACGCAGTTCTGTAAAGCGCCGCCGTAAAACAATATACGCTTACTATACGCCAAATGTTGTGTCAGTAAATGATATTTGAGGTTAGATGACGGTGACAGTGTACGTCGATTTTCTATCAAAGTAATATGGTTTTACTTCGTGTAAAAATAACGCTGAAATAAACAGTTGTGCAGCGTTCGCAGCTGCCGTTACGAGTATTTCAGAAGACTCGACATGTTTTCACAAGAGCTTCCGAATATCAAATGTCGATAAGTTAATTAAGAAACTGCGATCGCTGTTACTTGTACGTCATGAATGATCGATATTAAACGTATAAAAACAATGAGATTGATCTTTAGAAGATTACACGCTACGAAATGTTAGATTTTAATACTTTCATCAAATAAGGCCGCAATATTCGCATTTATCCTAGCCGATGCTTTTCAGCTTCGATGCTCTCGGACTCTGCAGATGACACGCGTGGTTCGCGGGACTTTGTCGCGGTGCAAAACGTTCGCTGGCGCGTTGTGGCTCGCTGATTTTTCAGGGTTCGCGAGTCGGATTTCTCTCGGGCCGTCTCGAAGCTCGCCGTTCGGCGAGCCTGCCGCCTCGCATGCTCCGACCGATCGATTAATTAGACGAATCGATCCGGTCGCCGACGCCGCGCGCCTAAACCGATTTCTCTGTTTATGGGTCATCCGTTATGCTCGCGGGAACCAGACCGCATTGATACCGTGCCGGTATGCGGCCGCGCTTCGAAAGACACGTGAGAGAGAACCGTGGAGAGCGATAAACTTGGCTCTCGGAGAGCGCCTATTCGTTTGGCAGAGACGCGAGTTCACCCGTAAAGGAAGGGAGAGAAAGAAAGAGAGCGAGAGAGAGAAGAGAGAGAGCGCGCGAGAAAGAGAGTGCGAGGGAGAGAGAGCGCGAGAAAGAGAGCGCGAGAGAGAGAGAGAGAGACTCTCTTGTCGAAGCCAACGCGATAGAGGCCGCGGATTCGAAGCGGCGGGACTTCGCTCGAAGGTCTCGTCCGGTCGGGATCGATTGAAGTCGGTCGAGAGAACGTCTCGCTGTCGGTGGGATAGATCCTTCGAATCTCGGCCATTTGGCTGGTGGGTCGGACGCGTCGATGCCCGATTCCAGAACGGCCGGAAGCCGGCGCGAGGTTCAACGACCAGCGTCGGCCGTGACGAGGGATCCTCGCGGAAGCGTCGCGGCGAGCCCGAAATAACCGCGGAATTCTCATTACCCGAATAATCGAGATCGAGACGATAGGCGGAGGTTTCCGCGTGTCCGTTGGGACGACAAAGGGAAAAAGAAACGGGCCAACGGGAGCAACCGGCTAGAGGAGGGAAGGGGCAAGAGAAAAGAGAGGAGAATCGTCTATGTGTGTATGAGTGTGTGTGTGTGGCCTCAGGTGTGTCGGTGGCGAACGGAGGGACGGCGCGAAGGGGTGGCAAAAGAACGGCAGGGTAAGAGGAGCCAATTACTGTGTCCTGTTAGCAGCCTTCGGGAGTTCTCGCTACTAAATACTACTTTAGCTATTTAAATGACATTTCTTGACACGTGTTGCGCGCGGGTCACAGGTCGGGACGGTTTAATTTGAACAAATTAATTAATATTTTCTTTTTAGAAAATACTTGATATTTTCAAGTCTGGCAAGACGATTCCGACGATAAGTGGGCAACGAGGATTTTTAGTATTTCGAAGGGGTTTCCTTCTAATATATCAGAATATATAAAAGTTAATGTTTAGAAAGGTGTCAATACCTGTCCCGCGAATAATATGACTGAAAGGTAAATTTTCTACGTTTCTTCTGTCGATAGAAATTGTCCCACGACAGAAGTATCGGATCTCCTTCGAACGGTAGATATTTTAACCCTTCGCAATCGTCATTATTAAATTTGTTTATACTCGAATAACTGTTAAAAATGTAATCGTTGTACCGGTCATAAAATTCTATACACACATATAAAATGCACTTAAGTCGATAGAAATAGAAATACTGCAAGTCGGACAAATTACTTTCAATATCAGAGTTAAAATGGTTTCGAGTGCAGAAAGGGTTACGAACCACGTACGCCGAGAAGTTGTGAACGAGAACGTGTGTCCGACCCGCTCTCGTACGATAAATATAAAGTTAATTACGCTCGAAAATAAACAAAATGCACAGCGATCGGTTAGCCCAGGGTAAAAAAAAACAAAAAAAACGGCGGCACCCTAGACGATTTTCGCAGAGTGTGACCGAAGTAGTGCCGCGAAGACCGGTCCTGCGTCGGGCTTATTCCAGGACGTCCTGGAGGCTGAGGGGTTCAATGACCATCCTTTTCCACCTCCTTCTCCTCTTCCAACTCTCTCTCTCTCTCTCTCTCTTTTTCCTTCTTCTCCGGCGCTCTGAACCAGGAGCGAGAGGACAGTCCACCCTGTATCTCCGCCGTCGCCATCGCCGCCGCCGCCACCGCCGGCAACCACCCCTTTGCCACCCTCTGCCAATTCTTTCCCGCCGCCTCTTTCTACGGCGTGGCACGATTCTCTTTCCGCGTCTCCCTTCCACCGGGGGCCAACAGCTTCGGCAAGAGCGCATTCATTACGCGTCCGTTCAGTTTGCGGAGTTTCGGGGGCGTCGGGGGTGGTTTGGGGGCGGTGGTAGTGCCGCTGCTGCTGCTGCTGCTGCCACCGCCGCCGCCACTGCGGATGGCGTCGGAGGGGCCCCAGTGGGTCG